ACTCTTGCTTGCCAGCTCAAGTTTCAAGATAAGAGGTGGGACAGAGATAGGATGACTGCTGAATCCTTGCATTGTCTGGTGGAAAGCATGCATGGGCGTATTCAGCCTTTCTCGGGGACTGTCACATTTGGTAGTGTGTAGATTTCTTGTCAGTAGGTCTGTAGACATTTTTCAAAGACTCGTTTTCCCCTCGGGCTTGGCAGTTGACAGGGATTCATCATGTGGTTAATCATCTGGCTGTGTTCACCCAGGATCTTGTTGGGACTGGTAGGCTGACTGTCATGTATTGCAGCGTTTCTCCGCACTGTGTACAGGACAGGGAATATTTACTTCATGTTCGGCAGAGGTAGGCTGTATATTAAGTGTTTTTGATGTGTGAGGCGTCGCATTAACTGTAATATGGTACCTTTCTATATTGGTCTGCAAAATTATCTGTTTTTATTGTTTAATTCTGTGCTTCATATATTTTGATAAATGCATATTGCTTGAATGCTTAGTATAGATTTGATTCATAATATTGACATGGATTAGAGTTAAAACATAAGTTAACTATAGATTCAACAAAAAATGTAATAGAGGAAAATTTGATAATCAAGTAATATACATTTTTTAAGCAAAAAATATGACATTTTGTGACAAATGTTTAATATCTGCTGGTTTTCTTAGTCTTCTGTGACAGTTAACTGAATATTACTTTATATGTGGAAATGTGATATTATGTCTAAAGGGAATATCAGTTAAATGTTCAAATATCATTCAATATTTTAAGTATTCAAATTGTAATTTTAGTCAAACCTGCCTGTACTTTAATTATATTTATTTGTGTCCACATAGATGTGAGGATAAGTAACAACAAGTTATTTTCTGTGGCAGTAACATAACACCTTATTGGCAAATGATGTTGAGCAGACTACAGGAGGTCCTTACTAACCGCAATGTAAATATTTCATGGCAAGAGTGAAACAATTGGGAGAAGATGCACTTGATTGTTGTCATTGTAGTGTAGAGTTGACACACATTACATCACCTTATTGTAATGTTAGGTATTACATACAAGCCTCGTCAAGTCAGTGTACCATGTGCACATTTAGCTCTGAATGAATTCCTGTCTGTGTTCAGTAACAGATAACCGGTCAGCCTGCAGGTCTTTGACAGGATCTGATAACCAGCTGGTCCAGTCACTAACAGCAATATCTTTTCCAGATAGCAGGAAGCTGTTAGGTGTGTTATAAATGTTGGTGCCCACCTACAAGCCACGAGGACAAACTTCAATAGAGTTATAAGTTCTAATATTGGCTCTGTGCCCCCAGTTGCTGTTAGAGAAAATGCATTTATATAGCATAATTATGTGATTTTCTACCAGTCTAAAACGTTTCTACATGTAATTCAAATTCTCCCTGATTATATAATGATTGAGCTGGCTTTTGACCAACTGAGGTGGCAGCTTTAATGTCACATGGTTTGTCCCGGTCCTTGGCTCACCCTGACCGTGAGGCAACTTATTGTGTCTTACCCTAGAGGGCACGTTGGTTCAGACTTCTTAGTTAATTTAGACAAGTGGATTTCTCTGGATCGGCTACAGCTGAGTTACTAGAGGCCCTGGAGAGGAGGGAGGGATTGTGATGTGGTGTAAATTTATTTCTGAATGGAAATCTAACATTGAATAACCGATCTCATTCAAATGTATATTATCATGCAGGTAAATTATTTTTGAGGGGGGCAGTAGAAGAATTCCTACCCATCCGGGCAGCTTGCCGCTGAATGATTATTTCATGGAGTGTTGAGCAAATAGCCTTAGGGTTTGCTGGAGCCACTTAAAGTGGCTATAATTACCACTGATGTCTGGCATAATTAGAAGTGACACACACCATCAGGTGGCTTAGAGACGCCGGTTACCAATGGCTAAGTGATAGAAAAAATACGACATTCGACTAGACATGGCAGCTGAGCTGACCACTCTCCCTTCGTTCATTTCTGCTTGGTGACAACTTGGTGTTAGTCTGTATTTGCTTGTACAAAAGGTCTCCCGGCCTGGCCACTGACTGCTTAGGTCAATGTGAACGCTGAGCGGATTAAGTCCTTTGTCTTGTCGGGGTAGCAGAGCACACTTAGAGGAGGCAGCAGATCCAAAGGAGCTGGGTTTTCTTTATTTTCAAGAAACTGGGACATTGTGGCTGCATGCGTTATGTGTATGCACGTGAAGGAAGAGAAGGTAAAGGGTGTTGTGCTGACAGAGCGGTGTTTGCTCCAGAAAGTGATCAAGAAGCTTGAAATGTCCGTCGTGTCAGACTGTCTTGAGTGCATCAGAATGGGGAAAGGCAAGAGGTATGTAAGCCCAGATCACTTCACACTGACTCAGCGTAATGAATTATTCTGTTAGATGTCAGGAAGCATGTTAATCTAGACAAGAGAACAATGTATTTCTGTTTTTAACTTTAAATGATCTGTATGGTGGACAAATCCATCCCTAGGTTTCATAACCTTTAAGCATCAAGGGCAAATATGTCAGTATATTTTAAATATGTAGAAGTATAAAAAAACAAACATGGAGATTTAGAATACAAGTTTCTGAAGTCACTACATCAGTTTTTTATTTTTGAGAGAAGGTCTCTGCTGTCCAGCTGAAATTAAATACTCCTGTCCCCACCACCAAGGTGTGTTGAAGTAGTACGGGGTTGATGGAGAGAAAGCTTCTTATTTTAGAAAGCTGCAAGTTAAGGCAGCACAACATGCTGGAAGTGGCAGACCATAACAGTAACCTTAACCATCAATTTCAGAAATCATCAGAAGAGTTTGTTGGGAGGTCAGGAGACGGACTGGGAGGAAGTGCTGTATGTCTGGGAGCCCTAATACTGGGTCTCTCAGAGGCTTAAAGGTCAGCTTAAAAGATAGCACTCGCACAACCATTTACAAGCTAGATATTTTAAGTCCTACTTGTACTGATGGGTGACATTGACTTCAAGTCATAAACCTGTATTTAAGCGGCCACGACATTTGGGTTTCCTATGATCTGCACTAAAATCACAACTCAATTTAAAATGTTATCTCAAAAGCCAGGTTAGCATTATTAACCTCTGTGTTTTTAGTAGAAAAAAAACCATTGAATTCAGTCTAATACATAACCTCCTTCTAGGTCTGAGTGCAGTATTGTTTGGTCCAAATGTGGGATCAGTCAGCTGCAATAAAGTACATTCAGCTTTTCGTCTTCATATTTTAAACTGCGTCCTACCAATGAAGTAAATAATGGCTGTCTTTATTTAGAGTCCTGTAGATGGAAAACCTGTGCACCCATGCACGACTGGATTTGTTTTACAATCTTTATGATGTAATGCTAGTTGGAAGTTGACAAAAGGGGATGGTCTTATTTAGTAGGATGGGTGTGGAGATTATAAAATTGTAGTGCTTACCACAGACACATCTGAGTTTACTTTGTGTTCATGGTTAAATCTAAGGCACATATTTTCATTCCAGTGTAATTTTGGAGTTTTTAGGCTCACGGCAGACAGGAAATGCTCCGTCTTATTTTAGATTTACAGCTCTCGTCTCTGGCTACACATGGTCTGGACTTCTCTCAGCTTGACATTAGCTTTTTCTGTGTCTTGTATTTAAATGCCACCAGTTTGAGAAAGGATCCCCTCACTGAGTTTGTATTGTCATTCAATCAAGTGATCATTAAAAAGATTGATTGGCTTAATGCTACACACATAAGACAGCCCTGTGCTATACTTGGTGGTATATTCACAGTGTTTTCTGAATTTGATTGATACCACTGCCTGCATTTTGTCATTTTGGGACATGACATTTGTGAGAAGGATATGGTTGTTTAGAATTGTTGCAACAAGAAGTCTATTTATTGATACGTTGATTGACAGGGCATTAATTGATAAAGGTTTTGATAATTGTGTTCTCTTTTTAAGTACTTTTATCCACATGTTCACTGGTTTCAGCCTTTCAAATGTGAGGAATCTTTTACATTATTTTAAACTAGTTAGATGAGATTCGGACTGTTGGTCAGACAAAACAAGACATTTGAAGAGGTGCCCTTGGACTGGGGGTTTAAGATTTTTTTGAAATTGTATAGACTAAACAATTGATCAACTAATCCAAAAATAATCAGCTGATTAGTCTGTATTAATATAAATGTTAGTTGCTGCCTTTTGAGTCTAGTTTTGTTTTAACATTTAAGTTAATTATCATATTAAATCTTTTGTCTTGAATATCCTATCTATGTCCAGAGTATCAAATACAGTAAGGCTTTCCTCAGCGTGTACTTATGTAAAGTGGGCGTATCATTGAGGTCCTTTGATCCTTCACTTTGCCTCATTTCATTTATTGCTTTACGCATCCCCTATGATCTCACCATAGACTGTATAATTAAAAATGAACGTAGTCTCCGTGACGTCACCCATAGGTTTCTGAAAAGCCATTGTGAAGCTCGATGTGCGGTGGCTCTGGTCGTCCCAATCTTGGAAATCTTGATTCCAGGCTAATCCAAAAAAGGGGGAAATACGAGGAGTGTGGGCTGAGCTGAGGCAGGCTGAATGAAGCCTGGTTATCAAAAACAGCTGCATGTGACGGCACCCACTTGTCATTCAAAGTGACCATTCCCTTAATTATGCAAAGCTTCGAGCCTTAATAGACTTAAAACGGGTGAGTTTTATATAAAAATTCACACCTCGTAGAGTTGTCATGAAGGGGGAAAATTGGGTGAAGAGACCAAAACGCTTTTTGTGCCAGGCTGTAAACATATTTATTTCTGCTGTAAAGTTAGGCATTTTAATATGAGGCCTTATAGAGATTGATTCACTTATTTAGCCAGCCTCAAGTGGCTGTTCGAGGAACTGCAGTTTTTGTTCCTTCCATGTTAGCTTAATTTGCCAACCAGGATGCCACTTGAATCTAACAAGGTGTTTGGAATCCTCCAGATACAGTCAACGATATCAAGACTTTTGGACATAGAGTTCCCTTTCGCTTCTCACGTAGCTCCCACTTCCCTGCAGGATGGAGTCATCTTGCCTGGACCTGGCTCTGGAAGGTGAGCGGCTCTGCAAGGCTGGTGACTATCGTGCCGGTGTGTCCTTCTTTGAGTCTGCCATCCAGGTTGGAACAGAGGACCTCCAAATCCTAAGTGCCATCTACAGCCAGCTGGGAAATGCCTACTTTCACCTACAAGAGTATAACAAAGCCTTGGAGTACCATCGGCATGACCTCACACTTACCAGGTAGAAATGCTATAACCTTTTTTCACCCATTAAATTGATGATTAAATTGTTGCACATCTCCACCGTATTGCTGCTGGCAGCTTTAATTTACTTTCTTGCCTCTTGTGTTTTCGTAATACTCTTTAGTAATCCACTAATATTCAAGTCTAATTATTTTCTAATGTTTTCTTTCTTCTTTGAAATCCCAGAACAATTGGAGATGAGCTTGGTGAGGCAAAAGCCAGTGGCAACCTTGGGAACACATTAAAGCTTTTGGGACGGTATGATGAAGCAGTGGTTTGTTGCCAAAGACATTTGGATATCACCAGAGCCATTTATGATAAGGTTGGTCATATTTTTGTGATAGTTTAGTTCTACAACAAGATAATTATTTAGGTGAAACACTTCTTCAGTCCTCTTACTTTAGCAAAACTGACAAAGGATGACTTTTCACTGTTCTGTAAATGAAAAGTTCAATGAATAAAAGGACTATTTGATTAGATTTAGATTAAATTTGTTTTCAATCATACCACATGACATGCTCTGCAACCACAGAACTGTTTTGGTATGCACGATGACTGCGGCGTGTCAGCTTACCAACGTCTAGAATAGTTTGCCAGCCCGCATGCAAACAAGCAAGTCTGGTGTCAGTGTATTTTAAGTATATAATTACAGAACTGGTCACTCTGGTTTCCATCTGTGAAAATCTGCTGTGCGTGCTGTAGGTTGGGCAGGCTCGAGCGCTGTATAATTTCGGGAACGTTTACCACGCCAAGGGCAAGGGCATCTGCTGGAATGGAGCCGAGCCAGGAGAGTTCTCGGAGGAAGCCAGGATAGCCCTGAGGAAAGCTGCACAGTACTATGAGTAAGTTGGTGTCCCTGTTTACTTCTACACATTGACTATGTGCTGTTTTGCATTTATTTTGAAAGCCCTGAGGAATGATACGAGTGACTTGATTATTAAACTGCCAGTATCATCAGTACAGTGTCATCCCACATGGGATTACAAGACACTGCCATTTTACAGAACATGCTTTTTTTCGCACTGCTACAAGCCTACATTTTCCCTTGATAAAGGGCTTTTTTTCTCTTCTCCCAGGCTAATTTAAATGTTTCAGCCAACTCAGTCTTTGTGCATCATCCATATTTACAAAGCAATACAAATCAATCATTCAGACGGCACATTCAACTAATCTGCTTTTCTTCTTACATACCAGTAAAATATCAGATCTCAGCTTCTGGGCAAATAAAGATCTTTGCTCTTTAGATGTATTATGCACAAGATAATTCTCCATATTCATTCATGTCATCATCCTGAATGTGAATATAATCCGTATATCATCAGCACACTGCTCTACCTTGTATCCTTGAGTAAAATGTTGAAGCCTTACATGGTTACTTTTTTTTCCTCGGATATAAAATGTAACATCTGATACCATGGCTGCCTCAACTTCTACTTCTTGGCAGTGTTTACAAGTTGTTCATGAAGTTGTGCTCCCGCTTGTCTGCTCAACCAGCTTGTAGGTAAAATCTCTGTAAAATGGATCATGGTAGTGTTATGCAGTAAATGTAGTTTTGAGTGTGAATGTTGACTCCTGACTTTTGACTAAGTATGAAACTTACTAGCTGAACTCACAAAAATACATTAGTGGCGATTATTTTGTCGGTCTGTATATTTAGCCTAGTTAATTCATCCCATGAACCCAAAAAACCATTGTCTCTGTTGCACATAGCCTGAAAAGTCACAAAAAGTTAAGTGAGTAGGTTTTCATGTATATTATGTGTAAATGTGTTTCTTTGTTGTCCTTTTTTTTTTTTTTTTTTTTTTTTAAAGAGCAAACCTAAACATGGTGAAGGAGCTGGGCGATAAGGCCGCCCAGGGTCGTACCTATGGTAACCTTGGCAACACTTACTATTTGCTGGGAGAATTTGAAACTGCAGTAGCCGCTCATGAAAAGGTAGGTGGCAAACTTGTGGTGACGGTCAAAAGTACCCCTTCAGTGTCAGTGTTACACATCACCTGGTTCAAATTGTCGTTCTCCCTTGTATTTATAAGGCCTTTGATAGACAAGTACCAACACATTTGTCTAATATCACCTAATATTAAGAAGAGATATATATGTTTTTATCCACATACGCCCTGATTGCGTCTGTCTTCATTACCTCAAAATGTTTCCTGTTAATCCTGACCTTACTGGCAGTAATGTGCACCCTACTGTTTGTCCTGTTTGGCAGCGGCTGCTCATCGCTAAAGAGTTTGGGGATAAGTCTGCAGAGAGGAGGGCCCACTGTAACCTTGGCAACGCTCACATATTCCTCAGCCAGTTTGAAGTGGCGGCTGGTCATTACAAGTGAGTAAACAAGTGAGGCTTAAGGACTTTCTCACATTCTGATGGTTATTGGCACGTACAATATGTCTGTATATCATCGTCATACTTGAGCACGAAACTAGCATGCTGATGTTATTTTTCATTTTGGCACAGTTTTGATCATGAAATACTTTTTTTTTTTTTTCTCCTTTGTACTGTAAAAGCTTAAAACAACTGCACACCTATATTCTGCTAGCTCCCTTATGAATACATAATCATAATTCAATTAGATAAGGGAAAAGCAAACTGATCAAACTTTAATGATCCCCAGTGGGAAATTGGCTCATCACCATTTTGTGTGCAACACTTTACTTTATGTCCTCCTATTTGGCATTTCTAAGCAGTATGTAAACATTTAATAAATAACACACTATAATGTTGTTGTAAGTAGATAGAAATGTTTATTAATGTATTCATCAGCAAATATTACTCCTCCTCCTGGAGGCTGATGGATTTGAATAAGAATATGGTAAAACAGATGTATGATATACAATGTCTTCATAGTAGATGTTATTTCTGACTAATACTTAGTTTGAGTAAACACTTAAAATGTCCTTAAATCTAAAGTACATCATAGTACCACTTGTTAAATGTTTGTTTACTGCTTATAAATGTTAACTATGGAGACTTAAAGTGTTGCCATTGTGGTTATTTCAAGTTCTGAATACAATACAGTCAATTATAATAACCACTGATATGTGTGCCAATGTATAGGAGCAGTAGTTGATTTAATTCAAAGGTTTTTAAAGCCTTACTCCAGCATTTTCTTCAAGCAGAAGCACAAAACTGACAACAAAGAAAGAAAAGAAAGTAGACGATAACTATCATTCTCCAGCTCCCACCCTACACATTCTTTGACCTTCTTCCTCCTCTTCTATTCCGCCCTCAGGAGGACTCTGCAGCTGGCCAGGCTTTTGAAGGACAAAGCCGTGGAGGCTCAGGCCTGTTACAGTCTGGGCAACACCTACACACTACTTCAGGACTATGAGAGAGCCATCGATTACCACCTCAAACATCTGGTCATTGCTCAGGACCTCAGCGACAGGTATCGGCCATAAAAGCCATTTGTTGTCAGCTCTCCACCAAACTGTCTTTGATGTATAATGAGCATGTACAGTCTGAATGTGGGTGGCCCCTGGACTAATTATCTGGCAGAATTGTGTGGTGTTGCTGGTAACACCCATGAAGCTACAGTAAACTGCAAAACACTGAAAAGCAGACAAAGTCTCAGGAAAACAGCATTTGGGGGTCTTGCTTATGGGATTTAACATATCTTTAACACATAATGCCAGCTATGAGATGCAACCATGAAGACTATCTAAAAGGATCCAACAGCAAAGATGTGCAAGTTCATATGCACATCTTATCAGGCAGGCAAAAAACAGACTTTCTATTTACAGATGATATATTTTGGATAAAGTGTGTTATCCATTTATAAAACAATACTCTTTTTATAGATTTAGTTTCAAATGATTTCCTCCCCCTCAATCAACTATAACAGGCTGATCAAAAGATAACAGCTTGAAAACTTGGTTGAGCCTTTTTTTTCACTTTACAGATAAAGACTGTATATATGTATATAGGCTTCTCCTCTAATACGTCTCAGCTAACAAGGTAATGCTGCAATTCCTAGTGTGGGAGTACCACTCTATTTTTATAGTCTTAGGAAAAGGAACCAAGATTTTTAGTAGTATAAACGTGTACAGGCACATTATCATTTAAGCCACATAAAAGGTATAAAATAGGTAAAATGGGATGTAATAGGAGGGACACAGAGGTAGTTAAAAATCAGTTTTTACTGCTTTTGAAAATGTCTATTTACATTCTAGTCTCATACTTTCTTCCTATAAGTAGATGGAATTATTGAAAACCAGCTGTTGAAAGCCGTTTAAGATCAGATTGTGATTGTACTGTATGAGCGTTGAATGTTCTTCCCATTCTTGCATAATCTCATCTGAAGCTGCTCAGCCTGTTTCCCTCTGTGTCTCGTTGCAGAGTCGGTGAAGGAAGAGCGTACTGGAGTCTAGGAAATGCCCACACAGCCCTGGGGAATCATCAGCAAGCCATGTACTTCGCTGAGAAACATCTGGAAATTGCCAAAGAGGTGACTGTTTAGGTTCACCTCCTCCCTCAGAGTCCAATCAGTGTCTGCCATCAGGCCACACCCCCCTCTACTGGTTGTATGTGGAACAGCAGGGAATAAATCTGCATTTATATTTATGCATTTGTATTTATGCATTGCATTATGGATTTTTATGGACATACACACTACAAAGTGAAAAAATAAATCCCATTTAGCAATAGTGTTTTGTTGTTTAGCTTCATACGCTTGCATTGAGTTTAACTTTGATGTTGTTGCTGTTGCAGACTGGAGACAAAAGTGGAGAAGTGACAGCCAGGATGAACCTGTCGGACCTACGGCTGGTCGTAGGCCTGAAGTCCAACTCCAGCCTCCACCCTAACATCTTTCGCAACATGAACACAAACAGCTCTGCTCTGTCAGCAAGCCTCCAGGGTTACCCCAACATGTCAGGTAAATCTGCACCCATCAGAAAAGTCATTTTCAGAACAATTTGACAAATCCATTTAGAACATGATATGTCAGCATTACACTTGTCAGTCTTAGTAATTGTATTTTTAGCAGCATGTGTGCCAAAAACACAGTTAATGATCTTTTTGAACACATTTAGAGATGTAAAAAATCTCTGCTTTTACTTTTCCAATCTCCAGAAAAGATTACTAACAATATTAAGACTAACAATGCAGTGTTGTGATGCTACGTTAGAGGAACACTGTGTGGTTTTTGACCTCACAAGACATAATGAATCGTATTTCATGAGGTGGTCCCTGGTTTGTTTTTCTAGTGCACTTGTGTGTGCACACAGGTGATGCAAAGACTGCAAGTTAGTAAAACATGAATGTAAACAGTGAAGGATTTAGAATACTTCAAAAATCGACATTTTACACTGAATGTAAACTCAACACTCCACAGGGCACCTTTTAAATCATTGTTGTCCTGTAGTTGTAAAAGGGCAATATAGATATTTTAACATGTGACCACATTATTGAATTGTGTATTTTTGTTTCAGGGCCCAAGTCTCCATCCAGGAGAATGGGCAGTGCAGAGAACCTGGAACTGAGTCCAAGTCCTGAAAAAGATCAGACTGGAGAATCATCGGCACATCTGGTAAGTAAAATAAAAATACTTTACAAGGCACAACCCAGTGGAAGTTACTCACTCTGATATTAAACAAATTGTAACAAACGAAACAGTCGAACTGTAAGCACTACTCTAATAATCTAAAAATAATTCGAAAATAATGACTTTACTTTTTAATAGAAAGTACGTAATTTATGAGGCTACTGCTGTTCTGTCAAAGAAAGTGCCAACTGGGTGATACATATTAAACTGTTGGTGCAGTTTTCCTTCATATAGTGCATAGAAATGTCTTGGAAATGATTGTGAAGCAAAAATAATAATAATAATAATAATAATAATAATGTAAATTAATTGAATCAGCTCTGGTAACTACAGCAACAAAAAATCCAACTACTACTAAACGAAACTAATGTGGAACCAATACCAATTTTCCCTCATATCCCTTTATTTTATTTGTTTTCTTTGTGCCAGTATGGATGTCAAATATATCTTAAATCATAATGGTCTTAAAAAGGTCTTCTAAAAGTCTTAAATTTAACCTGCTGAAACATGGCAAAGAAACCTCTAGTGTTAACATGGCTGAAACATTAGTCAGTGATATTTAATTCTGTATGCACCTTGAATGTACAGGACTGGGAGGACGAAGTATTTCCCGGGGCTTCAAAAAACAACACAATCAAGGCTTCTACAAAACTCTTCCTCTTTCACCGGCTGAAAAGCAAGAAGCAGAAGAACAACAAATCATCTAAAGACCAACACGAAACCCGCACAGAGCTTTCTGCTCCTGAGCTGGAAGCGTCTGTGTCTCCTAAGGTATTTTCTAAATAAAGTAGATTATCCTGCCCACTCATAACATCCCTGGAAGCCACAAGAGGCTTATGAGCAATAATGAGTCACCCTCAAGAAACAGTTAAAAGTGAAACATGTATCCTATGACAAAGCCTCACAATTCACATACAGTATTGAGACTGTAAGTGGAAATGCTTTGTGGGATCATTGTTTCTGGCTCATGTGTTACCAAAGAAATCAAGTCATTTGGCATTACAGACTATACAGTGTTGTCAAAAACACTTTGTCCACACACAGGAATTCTACTGTATCTTTTAAGATGCTTTGCACACGAACAAATCCATACCTTTACAAATGTTAGTCCTGATTTCATTTGATAACTCTCCAAAAGCCTAACAGCACATATTTACTGCACTCTCTGATAGCTATGCACTGCATCTGTTTAATAAATTAAAATAGGGTTACAACTAACAGTTACCTTGAAAAAAACATGTCAGGTATCCAGACTGCCTGTATTATCTGAAGCCCTTTTCCAGTGTTATTACATCTATTTGTTTTGTGTGTGTGGTTTTTTTTAAACACTGTAGCCAGGATCACGGGACACTATTGGAGAGGATGGCTTTTTCGACCTCCTCTCTCGTTTCCAGGGCAACAGAATGGACGACCAAAGGTGCTCCCTACTGGATGGCCAGAGCCATCTCCCCGCTCACTCCTCTCCCTCCTCCACCCCACCTGTAGCTGAAAGGAAATGTGAGTTAGTCCCTTGTGTTTGTATCTGTGTTCACACCATATGTAATAGTACAATTTTCTGACTTGCCTTTTCAAGGGAGGAACACAAGTGGAAACCTCTTTCTCATATTCAGAGTGTTGCTGTGGTGGACATTCAGTATCAGGTAGAGACAGGCCCATACCACCTCTGCCCTTATATGGTGTGAATGCAGCGTGTCCACAGATGTGTCCTATACATATTCAATGTTGTGTGATTAATCCTTTGTGTCAAAGATGATGTTAAAGTGATGTGCCCCCAAAGTCTATGATTTGAGTATCAAACACTCACTGGTGAAAGGTGTGTAGTTTCATCCTTCACTGAGCGAAGTAGCTTCTTTGGACCTTTTTTGTACCCGTAACTATTGCACTCCACTGTAATGGTCATACATCATATCACAGCCTTCGCGCTCCATGAAGGATGAAAGTACTTTTTACAGCCAACTTTTATATCTACGGGGTGTGTTTGATGCTCAAAAGATTTCATAGAATAACTGTTATCTTTTATCCTTCTCAAGCTGTCTTTTGCGCTCCTTTTCTACCTTCTACAAAATCAGAATGAAATGCTGTGTAGAGGAGAAAAAAGGCATCAGTCATCCTCCATTTTAATACAGTTCCCCCACAGATAATAACTCTCTGTTTCTAGCTATTTTGGAATGCGAAACACCGTTGCAGGATCCTGGTCATTTCCTGGAGCTGCTGGCCAGCTCCCAGGCCCGTCGTCTGGACGACCAACGAGTCAGCTTGAGCCATTTTCCTGGCTTACGTCTCAGCACCTCCAACCCGCCTCGTACACCCTCCACCTCCAGCACAGATCAAGTCCAAACACAAGGTGATGAAATGCAAGTAACTGCCCATATTTGTCACCTCCCTCAGTATTACCACTTGCATCGTGACTAATACAAATTTCTCCTTCCAGCCCCCATCTCCAGTACAGATACCCCTCACACACCCTCCCTGTACAGTCATCTCGAGGCAAGCGCTGAGCAGCCTGAGGGGGATGATGTGTTCTTCGACATGCTTGTTAAGTGCCAGGTGAGAAAAAGAAAACCAGTATATTGCCTGCTGCCAAAGCATATAGTGTTTTCCACATCACAGATATAGATTCTAGTAACATTTTATTATGAAATGATTTAGAAATTACAGACTAAAAAATCTATTTCAAGAGGTCTCCTTGAAAGAACTATATAGTTTGTACTAATTATGATGAGAAAAACTAAAGGCTGATTCATTAAAAGCCAAATAAATGATCATTCAGTATTAATTTAATATTAGAAACTTCATTCTCCATGTATTGAATTGGGTGCTTTATTGTGCACAGATTAAATTTTTGCATGTTAAGTAGTGAAGTGCAGCAATTAAACGGGTCTCTTTTTTTCTATATAATAAGTACCACCTTACGCCGTTCTTTCCAGGAGACATCTTGGAAATTATTTTGAAATTACGGACCTGTGAAAGAAAGCTTGACCTACCTCCTTTTCAGCAATGTTTTTGAATAGATACTATTTTGCAGTTTTGAGTGTTAAATCCACTTCTTGTAATTATTTTTCGGTTTACAGAGTGGGAAGGTGTAGAGAAGGTTAAATTCAAGGCCACTGGTAAATTTCTGAGGTTGAAATTAAATATCTTGGTGCACTATTTTATTTCTGAACCCCACTGAACTGAATCTTTGTGTTTGGGCGTCTTGAAGTTATTTTCTCAAGACTCAGAATAGTGTGTCACAGGTATATTATGACAAAGTAGTTGGGTGGTTCCTAGATAAGCAAGGCCTTTGCCGAATCGTGTGTTAAGCCTGGCTCAGTGTAATACCTGACTTGCTGTAGTGTCACGTCAACATAGGCAGCGATAATCTCATGAGATCAATCGGCTGCAGTTCACAGAGCCAGGTGCTGCAGCTGCTCCTCCCTGACTGCAGAAGCCCAGTGCATGATGGGAAACAGTTGGCTCCTTACAAACTCGTAACAGAAACACTGAATTGATCACACCCAAATGAGCAGAATTATTTCCTTCTAGGTATCTCAAATAAAAAATGTAAAACCTCTAACAGACCTCATTTTATAGGAGCTTTCCATAAACTGGCAGGGCTACTTGTGCCAAATTCTAAAATTGCTCTTACTGAGCATCAGCTAATATAACTGTACTGTCTCTGTTTTAGGGCTCCCGGCTGAACGACCAGAGGTGTGCTGCTCCACCGTCTGCAAATAAGGGAGCAACTGTTCCAGATGAGGATTTTTTCAGTCTCATCCTGCGTTCCCAGTCCAACAGGATGGAGGAGCAGCGAGTCCTGCCACCTGGTGTCACCCAATCTAAACCAGACTGACTTCATGAGGAATTTTTTTTTATTGTCTCAGGATAACCGATGAAGTAGCCAAGTTTCCTTTTATGAGATTTTCTTTTTTGTAACCCACATATCTGATTCCTGCCTTTCTGGATCGTCTTCACAACATTCCTGCGAGACTGCCAAGAGTACAAGGGACACTAAAAGGAATCAAGGTCTCAAACAATACAAAACTGGTCTTTGTGACTGTGGGAACTTTTGCTTTTTTTAAAACTTGTTTTTAGATATCTCACAGCATCTCTGGGTAGTTGCCACCTTTTTTGTGGTGCCCCCTGCTGCCTGTTTTAATCAGGGACCTCTGTATCAATGGCATCTGCCCACTCTGGAGGCTTGCATCAAGCCACTACTACAACACACTACAAACTGTGGGTGGTGGTGGTTCGCGTTTGGACTGTAAGTACTTTATTCCAAGGACATAAGCCAAACTGAAGGGATTTCTGCTTTAAAATGATCGACTAAAGAAACATTCTATAAACCTCAGGTACTACAATTAAGCAAATTGAAACATTGCACTGCCTGTTCTGGCCATTTGCTATTACATCAAGACTTTCAGAGTGGTACATCTTGATTTGAATTGACCTCTACAAGAATAACTCAGAGGGTCAATGGACAAATCTTCTCTGGGGAAATAAAGGTCCACGTCCACCTTTATTACTGCACTGGTGACTAGTGGAGCCATTTATAGAATCTGCTTCCAGGCATTGCTTTTGAAGACTTAAAGACTGTCAGTTGTACATCGTTAAAGGTTGTATTGGTGGAGTTATTATTGCCATAAACTCAAATGGGATTTTTTTTCATTGTAACAAGATTTTACCGGGGATTAACTAGTGTAAAAAAAAGAAATGTTATTTTAGCTTTTATACTGATACCAATTCCTGACAATGGAGAAATAAAATATCGTGAACTTACATTACAACTTATTTATTTAACCTGGATTTATTATCTTCTGTGTACAACATGAGTGTCCTTCCAAAGACAATACACATTTACAATGTGTGTCACATAAACACAAACATAAATAAGTATATTTACAAAGTGTTCCCTGCATCAGTGCATCATATTGAAGCCAGACTTAAGTGTCAACGTTCTAACCTTCATGTCCACTGGAGTTTGGTCCTCTCAGCACTGAAAAACTCACGTCACATTAAATCAATCAGTTGAGCAAACCTATAGCATAATGTTAAAGGGGAGCTTGGCAACTTTTTCAGCTTAATA